TGCGGGTGAGCTGAGGGATGCTCATCCCCAGGGTGCCCTGGGCTGCAGGGATGGGTTGGAAGCCTCCACCTGCCCCGGCTCTGGCCCATCCCACTGCTCCTCCCGGCCCCTCTGCGCAGTTCCCGTTCAGTCTTTGCTCCCTTCAGTCCTCACAACAGGAAAATATTCGCAGTTAGAATCTCAAACAAAGCCTTTGTCCTCGGGATCCCGAGGGGCTGCTCCGGGCAGCCCTGGGGGTGGCTCTGGGTGCTCCTGCCTTGGGGTCCACCTGACCCATTCCACCTCCTTGATTTCCCCTGGGCGAAGGAGCAGCTTTGGGGTTGCTCTGGCTCCAGGGTTGGAGCTGGGCTGAGCCCCCCTGCAGCTCCAGCTCCCCCTGACCGGGGTCTGGGTGTCCCCTGGAAGCCTCTTCCTCGCAGCACTGGCCGCTCCCCAAATTCACCCCGAACCTTCCTGCTTTTCTCTTGCTGCTGCCGCCGGGTTTTTGGGACCCTCCTGAGCCCCCCACCTGCCAGCAGGATCAGCCCCTATCCCTGTGCCTCCTCTGAGCCGGGTGTGAGGGATCCTCCCCCTCTGGCACCACACTGGGACTGACCTGGGTGAGTGTCCCCCTCCAGCACCCTGCTCTGGAGTGACTGGGCACCCTGAGCCACCCTGAGCCTTCCCAGCCATGGTGGCAGCTTTTGGGACCACCCCTGACTTGGAATCATGTCATGGACCAAAATCTCTGGGCACATCCCTGTCCCCTTCTCCTCTGGGCTCTCAAAGTGCCAGAGCAGGTCGGGGTGGGGATAACTGGAAGCCTGTGTGAGGAGGGAGGAGTGGGACACTCCTCTCCTGGGGCACAGGAGCAGGACGAGGGGACAGTGGTGTCCCCTTGCCGGGCTGCACCAGGACATTCCAGGGGGACAGCGCTGCCTTTGCTATTCCCAAAGGAAAAGAGGGAATACAGGGACCAAAGTGGCCGAGCTGAGACATTCCCTGGCCCTGTTTGGGGCCGTGTCCCTGCCTCCTGCTTGTGCAGTCCCCTTCCCCAGAGCACGGGGGCTGCAGGGCTGGGATTGGGATGGTTGGGATGACTGGGATCAGGGGCTGCAGGGCTGGAGCGTGGATGGTGCTGGGATTGGGATGGTTGGGATGACTGGGATCAGGGGCTGCTGGAGCAAGGAGGGGGTCCCTGGCAGGGTGGAGACCCCCTGGGAGGGCCTGAGCCAGGGAAAGGGACTCCTGGCTCCTTCCCCAGCCGGCTGTGATGGGATGGGGGAGAGTGCCAGGGATTTTTGGGCCCCCGGGAGGGGCTGTCCGGGATTTTGGTGCTAAAACAAGTGAGCACAAGAGCAGGGAGGGGGTGGGGGACCCACATCCCCCTGCCAATCCTCTTCTTAATCACCTTCTTGTCTGGGAATGGGGGGGGGG